AACCAAAATAATATGAATAATAACAGAAATGTAATAGGAATCTCTGGATATATAGATTTTGAATTCTATAAATTTTTTGTAGTGAATGTTTACACGTTAAAAGTGAGATTTCTAACTTACTCTTTTGGAGTAAAATTCATTCCAAACAATTTAGAGAGAAAGCGTCGATGTATCAAGTACTAGAAGAATATAAATAAGGACTCTGATCTTTTAAACTGAAAACTTAGATAAATAGGTGCGCTTGACGAGTAACAATTTGCTTTGCAATTATTATGCAATCATGTTACAAAATAAGTAAAATTATTATATAGATATATGCTTTGTTTTTTTAGTAATCATTTATTAGTTATTTTAATGTAAAAAGTTATTAGAATCTTTTTGTATCCATATATTGATGTATCCATTTTTTTATGGTGGTTATGTAACATCTTTATTATATCTGCAACTATTCAAATAATATAACATTCAAATTATTCAGAATAATTAATGTTCACTTACTCAAATTTATAAATTTGAATTATTTGTATAATCTGAGTATTTAAAGAACAAAATTTAAAAGTATATATTATATAATATAATATAATAGATAATATATGTAATATTTATTCATATAATAAATTATGTGTATTATATGTATATTATATGTATATATACGATTTTTTAATTACGTATATTTTACATTTATTATATTCTACAATTTTTATCCTAATATTATTAAAAAATGTTTGATAAAAATGTGAATTAGATATTATTCTTGCATTTATTTGACAATTAATTTATATTCAAAATGTAATTAAAATAACAATTAACGGCAATTTATAGGTAATAAAATGTCATTTTTATAAAAGATGGACATTATTTAATTTTGTTATAATCAATTAATGTACATAGCGATTTATTATAAGATGGAATTTCAGTCAACATGTTCTTTTACATAAAGCTTTGCAATAAACTAAATTAAATTAAATTAAATTAAAATTTATTTATTCTAAATTTCTTTTCTTTGTCAATGACTGCATTCAGCAGAACACAACAGTTTTACAACCGTTTTATTATGGTCTACGTAAAGCATTTAATCTACATATGGAATACAAAAATAATCAAATTGACTGCGTTCAGCAGAATGTTTATTTTGCAACTGTTGGAAATTTTTTTTTCATTGATTAGATTATATTTTTAGATCTAAAAGTATAATCTAATTAATGAAAAAAAAATTCCAATATATTATACCTTTAAATCCAATATATTATACTTATTACTTATACAATAGATTATACTTTTAGATCTAAAAGTATAATCTAATCAATGAAAAAAAAATTTCCAACAGTTGCAAAATAAATATTCTGCTGAACGCAGTCAATGTGATTATTTTTGTATTCCATATGTAGATTAAATGCTCTACGTAATTAGTTATTCTCGACATCTATGACGTTATTGTGAAGCTAGCTCTACGAGCTAAAAATCATTTCAAAAACTCGAACGGAGAAGGAATTAACAAATCGCATTTGAACAATTCGGCTAATTGACCAATGCGATTAGTGAATTCTTTCTCTGAATTTCGGAGCGATTTTTAGCATCGTTTGACACAAAATTTCACAATAACCGCCATTATTAGATATGAAGATATGCGCGAATAACTGCCAACAGCAGGGTGTAGCAGTCTAGCAATAGCCGTATCACGGCTGATTATGGCGCGAAGGTAACGTGGCAACCTCGCGAAACGAACATATCGCTTGTCAATCGTGCTTCCGACGTAAAAAAAACGCTGGAGAGCGACGGTAGAACTAGCATAAAGAGATCTTTACGGATTCGCTGTGTGACAGATATCGCGGAGACATCTGAAATCGTCATCGCAAAACGGTCATGTTAAGTCAAGCGAGCGCTCGCGAGAGCGACCAATCGCGCGAGCGCTTCGCGGATCGAATGGAAAGTGCGATCACGTGTCAGCTGGAGAGCGCAGGCAGGGGCGTACAAAAAGAGAGTCAGGGCCTCTTTCACCAATTTCTGGTTAAATTAATTAACGATCACACAACTCACAAAAGTGCCAACAGCAGTTTAGGCTCACTTCGACCAACTCCGATTAACTTTAATCGACGATTAATCCAAATGCAATTGGTCAATTCCAATGAACTAATATTGATTAAAGTTAATCGGAGCATTGTATGTGTGTGTGTGTGTGTGTGTGTGTGTATGTGTGTGTGTATGTGTGTGGTCGAAGTGGCCACAAACTGCTATTGGTTAAACTGGCCTTTATTTCCTTTCTTTTCCTTTTCTGAGACAAATTGTGTTTAAATTCTCATATTGACAACCGTGATGATTAACCATCAATTAGTGTTAGGCCGGAATCAGACTATGCATTGAAGATTGAGATTGAAGATTGAAAAATTCAAATTTGACCAATCGAAATGAAAGGAGCTAAAATTTTTTTGTCCTTATTGGTCAAATTTCAATCTTCAATCTTCAACCTCAATCTTCAATGAGTAATCTGATTCCGGCCTTAGTCAGAATTGGTGAAAAAGGCCCTTAAGTCGCTCGCGTGTGAAAATAATTTTACGTCCTCAGAAGTGTGCACATATAATTATTCGTATATATAAGGAATCGTACTAAATCTGAATCATGTTTTATCTCTTTCTAATTTTAATATTTAGAATTAGGAAAAGAATTAGAATTAGAAATAACCAATAGTAGGCCGGTATATTCATAGTCGATTCTTATTTCAAAACCGTCTTAAGTAATGTCTTAAGACGCTAATGCGGCCCTCTGATTGGTTCGTGACACCTTAAGACTGTACTTAAGACGGTCTTGAATATAAGATTTGACTATGAATACCGGCCGTAGAGCAAGTGACGGCATTATCCAAGCCAGATCGGTTCAAATCGGCCACGGTCGAAAACGCTGATTGATAGAAATGGACATGCGCGCTACGTATTACGGGTTGCACGCTCGCTACAGTGTTAAAAATTTCATGAAATTTAATATACTTTTAATTTACACAATTTGAACTTAATTTCATGACATTACATTAAATTTAATATATTTATAACTGAAAAGTGTATTCATGTACGTGAAATTTAATGTATTTTTCATGAAAATTTATGAAATTTAACGTACACGTCATTACATTTAAGTGTAACTACTGTAACTTATGGCGAATTCGATTGGAAGAACTAGTGCGCACTGGTGCACATTAAAGCCGTTGTACACTAATTCAATTTAAGTATAACAATGAAATGCAAATATTTCGAATTATGAAATACATATTTTACCTAATAGTACAATAAAATGTATTAAGTATTTCACGATTTAATCGATCTCTATGTTTATTTATAAACATATCTTTACGTTATTTCGTGTACAACGGCTTTAAGGTGCATCAGTGCGCATTGAGTGCGTCCAATCGAATTCGCTATTAATTTTCAGTTAAATCATTCATTACTTTTAATTTCGTTCATAACCACGAGCTTCATTTACATATAAAGAAAGCTCGTAGTCACATTTTTAAAGGCCATCACACGTACAAAAATTTTAGTCGAATCGGAATCGTAAGGTCGCAAGCAAATCGACCAATCACAATCAAAATTAAGATCTCGCACTTTTAAACGCTCGATTATGATTGGCCGATTTGTTTACGGCCTTATGATTACGACTAAAATTTTTATACGTGCAATGGCCTTAACAGTGTAGATACGCCCCTAAGCGTAGGGTAGTAACTGTCAATGGACGATTACTCGGCCAATCGCAGGCGTGCCGCTAGTGAGTGTGACCCGACAACGTTGCCCGCTGGGTCGCCAACACTGGACTCGACACCTCGACAGTCGTCGCTCGGCTGTTCTTTCGTACTCGGTAGTGGATTTGTGTCTGACAGTGGCTGATCAGACTGCCGTGTGATTGTCCACGAGGGCCCGTTCGGGGCCCACGAGAAGACGACTCGTCGAGATCGCTTCGTACATTTAATACCCACGATGACACATTTGGTAACGTCGTCGAAAACGAGCGTTTCTGGAATAAATACGGCAACGGTAATCACGATCGAGACGATAACGACAACGTAACAACAGCGTGCTCGTTTACCACGATAGTGCATTGCTGCTACAACGGGAAAAGGAGAAAGAGAGAGAGAGAGAGAGAGAGAGAGAGAGAGAAAAGTGCGTGTGTGTGTCGGATTCTCGTTCTCGATGCGGATGCGTCGCGTCGTGCACTTTAAACGAGGTACACATACACGCCCGACTTCCAGGAAGCGCGTAGAAAAGGAATAATATTTCATCGAGCGATGCACGTGAGAGGAAAGAAAGAAAGAAAGAGAGAACGCGCTATCGAAGGAACATAAGTGAATCTGTAATTGACCGCACATACGTATCGGCGCGACGTAGAGAAAGCGAGAGAAAGACAGAGAGAGAGAGAGAGGGAGAGAGAGAGAAAGGGGAAAAAAGAACAGGTTACAAGGCAAGCGGGCGCCATTCGGAAGTAACAGTGTCAAAGCACCGAGGCAACGTTTGCAAGTTCTTTAGCGCCGCGCACGGCATCTAGAAGGTGCGATGGGACGTGCGTGCGCGCGTGCCGTCGTCAGCGTGCGTCAAGGTGCGTGAAGTGGCCCCTGTGGTGCGGAGAGTGCGAACGAAGAGTCCGCAGACGGCTGACGGAGTCCCCGTTTGTCGCTTGGCGCGCGAGAGCGCTAAACTCGGGGCTCTCTCGCCTACCGTCTCCGTCCAACCAGCCGAGCCTACGGCCTACGGGCGCGCCTTCTCGCTCTCGTGCCTTCGCTTCGTGAATCGTGTGGAATCGTGGCGTGAGCGCCGACCGCTGGGCTGCTCGATTCTCCGCCTGCTCGCCAGCGAAGTTTTCACTGCGTCGCCGCGCGCACGACACGCTTACGTCTACGTGTGTGTATGTGTGTGTGTGTGTATATGTGCGCGAGAGTACATACGCGAGAACGTCAGAGACGGACGCGACCGGCCCACCGTATATACGTGCCGGAGGCGAAT